TCCCAGTCCACACTTTGACAGAAATGATGACAATGGGTAAAGGGTTATCTGAGAAAATGTGTGATCTCAACCTTCCTTGAAGTTTCAGCTCAATTTGCTACATTCTAAATAGTAAACAGACTGTTAAATATGCAGGTCTTTAAAAAGCAGATTTTTCCTGGTTTGTTTTTTTGTTGTTGTTTTTTTGTTTGTTTGTTTTTTGGTACCGGGGATCAAACTCAGAATCTTGCACTTGTGAGGCAGGCAGCAGCACCACTAAGCTAAATCCCTGGCCCTTTGCCTGCTTTATTATATGAAATTGCAACCCCCCCCCACACACACACATTTCATCCACTGTTTTAAAACCCTGTTTAGAATTCAGTTTTACCAACAAAGAAACAGGTTAGTAATGGGGAGAGTGGTGAGCAGAATAATGACAATGGTCAGGTCACTTCATTCTTTTCTTCAAGAAATAGTCCTTCAACCTGGGCGTGGTGGCCCCATGCCTGTAATCCCAACACTTGAGAGGCTGAGCCAGGAGGATCACTGCAAGTTGGAGGCCAGCCTGGGCTACATAGTTCAAGCCCAGCCTGAACTACAGAGTGAGATCCTATCTTTAAAAAAAATAAAAGTCGTTGAGCTCCGGCTCCCAACTAAGCCAGGCAATATGCTAAGTGCTGGAGTAAATCAGAGGTACTTGATTCCCAGCAAGGAAGAATTTGATTCATGCTTTGTCTCAATTCTGGCCCACTCTCTGCTCCCTGCCTCCTACCTCTTGCCAGACACCACCCCATAGAGGTCCAGGGTGGGAGCCCAATGCAAGAATGGGACACTCAGTATCCTCACAGAATCCATGAACCACGGCAGTGGTACTCCTAGACAGCTTCAATCTTTCCCTCTAGCCTTTTCTTTCTCTCATTGTCTCCCCATTTCCTCTGCACCCCACAAGTTGGAATTAAAGGACACAGCTTGTACTTGTTTGCTTATTCCTCTGTACCCTTCTATGTGTTCTGATGTCTTTTTTCCAGATTTCAAAAGTCACACGTGTTTATTGTTACATGAAAGCCAAAAGTTACAGAAATGTCTGTCCTTTGAAAACATGTCACTCCACCCATCAGAACTGTGCACCAACATTCCTTTCCACTCCAAGTCAAAAGCAAAGGCTTTAAATGGCCCACTGATGTGCACACACCTGACTTCTCTGACCCATTTCTCCCTCCTCTACTCCAGCCTGCACTTTTGGGCCTCCACACTGGACTGTCATGCTCTCCCCACCAGCTGCTGGTTCCTGAGTTAGTCAGCCCCAACTTCCATGACAAAATGCCATGGCTGGGCAGCTTCAACAAGTCTATTTCTTCACTATCCTAGAGGCTGCAAGTTCAAGATCAAGGTTCTGGCTGGTTCAGTGTCTAGCGAGGCCTTCTTCCTGGTCTACAGTCAGCCTCCTCCTTGCCCTGTCCCCACATTTCCCTTCCTCAGTGTTTGCTTTGGGAAGAGAGGTGCAGAAGTGCTCTAGGATGTCTCTTATAAGGACACTGAACCTTTTCTATCAGTTCCCATTAACACCTCATTTAACTTTAATTACTTCCCTGTCTTAATTTGAAGCTTCATCTCCAAATAACAGCCACACTGAGGGTTAGGGCTTCCACAAAGAAATCTGAGGAGAGACCACAATTTTTAAATCTATAACAATTTCCTTCAACTGTTAAGTATCAACTTCTCGTCAAGGTGTGATAATCCACACCTGTAAGCCCACCCCTCTGGGAGGTTAAGGCAGGAGATGGGAAGTTTGAGCCCAGTCTGCACAGCTTAGTGAGACCCTGTCTCAAAATATGGGTAGGGATGTAGCTTCTGTGCAAAGGCACTGAGTTCAATCCCTGAACAAAAACAAAATCACCTTCTCAGGTTTCTCTGGCTTTCTCTTAAAACCAATGTCATTTCTCACAATTCAATGTGCTAGGCACTGGGATAAATGAGCTCAGCTGTTACCAGAGGCTGTAAGAATGTGTCGCTCTCACGCCTGGGGCTTTAAAGCCTTTGTAGGCAGTCTCTGTTCCGAGGTACTTCATTCGGCAGTCTAGTCCTGGCTTCCTCATACGGGATATGAATGTTTCCAAAGTGAAGAGTGGAAGCTTCAAGGCCTCCACTTCCAAAGGGTTGTGAACATAGGAATGTGTGATTTATCAGGAGCCATAATTAGAGCAGTCTGACACACCGTCCTGTTTAAAACTGCAACCCCACTCTTACTTTTCTGCACAGTTTTTGTCCTTGGCTAACAAACTAAACTCTACATAAGTGAAGCTAATCTGTTTTTGTTCACTGACTTTGCCATCTATAAGAGAATCTGGCCCATGGGTGGTGCTTAGCTCTGCTAAATAGCTGAATACATTACTTTGAAATGTTTTCCAGAATGCTTCATCTTTAGTTACATTGTAACGTTGGGCATGCTTTTACTGTGAAGAAGTACTTTCCCATAAAAAAAGATCTCATTTTATTTTCACAACAACCTCCTACACAGGCAGGGCAAATTCCACTGTCTCTGCCTTAGAGATAAGAAAATGAACAGGGACAGTGACCAGTCTAAGGTCACACTGCCAATAAAAAGGAAGCTTCTAGCCTAGAATATTGGCAAGTGCCTGTAATTCTAGTGCTTTGGGAGGCCAAGGCAAGAGTATCCCAAGATCCAGGCCAACCTGGGCAACTGAGCAACTTAGTGAGATCCTGTCTTAAAATTGCTTTGAAAAGGGCTGGTCATGTAGCTCAGTGCAAAAGGAGCTTTTGACTTCACCACCCAGGGTTCTACCAGGTGTTGTGGCCAGATCGCGAAGTCCCCAAAGACCACCAAGGAGCTGATTCTGATGCAAACACACGAGGGTCATTTTTTCAAGCTCGAGCAGGGACTCTCAACCGTCGCCGACGCAGTGGGTCAGGATTGAGAGCCCCGAATTTCAAATCAGCAGGGTTTTTATCATGGTTA